TTTGTTAATTCAGATGCACATGACACCAGTCAATGATGTCCAACCAGCTCATGCCATTTCTCTTGGTGTGTTGGACTAGCGCCTGAAAAATATTGAATCCTGAATCAATTCGATATTTTAATCGAATAAATAGCAATCTTCTGAAAAAACTGCAAAATTTTTTGAATGCACCTGAATGCTGAAGAAAAAAAATGGATTCCAAAAACTAATTGTATCAACATAACAAATATGGCAAAACGAAACTCTTCAATGAACGAATGCATCCGATACAAAATAAAATGAAAAATTTCAGAGTGCACGCCGAGAAATGAGTTCAATTTTCAAATATTTGTTAAAATTTTCAGATTACGATAACAAATGAATCTGAATTTCCATTTGTTAATTCGTACGCACGTGACGCCAATTAATATTGTCCAACCAGCTCATGCCATTTCTCTTGGTGGGTTGGACAAGCGTCCAAAAACACTGAATCCTTCCGAATTAGTTCGATATTTTATGGAATTTATAGCAATCTACTGAAAAAACTGCAACATTTTCCGAATCCATCGGGGTCAACGAATACAAAAAATGAATGCCGAAGAAAAAAAAAAAATGGATTCCGAAAAACGAATTGTATCAACATAACAAATATGGCAAAACGAAATTCTTCAATGAACGAATGCATCCGAAACAAAACAAAATGAAAATTTCCAGAGTGCACATGTCTAGAAATGAGTTACATTTTCAAATATTTGTTCAAATTTTCGGATTCGGATAACAAACGAATCTGAATTTCGTTCCATTCGTTAATTCAGATGCACATGACACCAGTCAATGTTGTCCAACCAGCTCATGCCATTTCTCTTGGTGTGTTGGACTAGCGTCCGAAAAAATTGAATCCTGAATCATTTCGATGAGGGATGCACATGAGGGAAAGGGAGTCCCGGGACAGCCGAGACTCCAATGCACATCGCTGGATCAAGAGGGGGGCTAGGTGAGTATTGGGGGGGGATGCTGCACAGAGAAGGTTTTTTACTGACCCCAGGCCCTCAGGCAGTGCCCGAGTGCTCGAATGGTCAGTCCGCCCCTGGACATGTGCAGACCAGAAATTTTTCATTTTGTTTAATTTCGGATGCATTCGTTCAGAGCTACATCTAATTATCAGAGAAGACAGGGGGAATGATAGGAAGAGGGAACACTGGCTGATGAGCAGGAGAATGGATACTTGGGACAAGAGAAGTACAAGATCTGATTGTCAGAGAAGAGAGGGGGACTGATGGGTAGAGGAAACAACTGGATGATGAGTAAGAGTTTGGAGACTATATTAGGACAAGAGAAGAGCTACATCTAATTATCAGAGAAGAGGGGGGGACTGATGGGTAGAGGAAACAACTGAACTATGAGTAGGAGTGTAGAGACTAATGAATAGAAAAGACACTGAGGACAGGAAAAGAGCAGAATCTGATTGCCAGAGAAGAGAGGGAAACCGGTGGGTAGAGGATACAACTGGATGATGAGGAGGAAAGCAGGGACTCAGGAAAAGAGAAGAGTAGGATCTGATTATCAGAGAAGAGTGGACAACTGATGGATAGAGGAGGAGAAGTGGAGACTGTGGATGAACAAGAGAGGAGAACATCTAATTATCAGAGAAGAGAGGGGGGCTGATGGGTAGAGGAAACAACTGAACTATGAGTAGGAGTGTAGAGACTAATGAATAGAGAAGACACTGAGGACAGGAAAAGAGCAGAATCTGATTGCCTGAGAAGAGAGGGAAACCGGTGGGTAGAGGATACAACTGGATGATGAGGAGGAAAGCAGGGACTCAGGAAAAGAGAAGAGCAAGATCTGATCAGAGAAGAGTAGACAACTGATGGATAGAGGAGGAGAAGTGGAGACTGTGGACGAACAAGAGAGGAGAACATCTAATTATCAGAGAAGAGAGAGGGGGGCTGATGGGTAGAGGAAACCACCGGATGATGAGTAAGAATTTGATAATAAGATGTAGCTCTTCTCTTGTCCTAAGTCTCAAAACTGTTACTCATCATCCAGTTGTTTCCTCTACCCATCAGCCCCCCTCTCTTCTCTGATAATTAGATGTTCTCCTCTCTTGTTCGTCCACACTCTCCACTTCTCCTCCTCTATCCATCAGTTGTCCACTCTTCTCTGATCAGATCCTGCTCTTCTCTTTTCCTGAGTCCCTGCTTTCCTCCTCATCATCCAGTTGTATCCTCTACCTATCAGGAAACAGTGAGGACTGATGGGTAGAAGAAATGCTGGCTGATGAACAGGAGAGTGGAGACTTGGGAAAAGAGAAGAGCTGGATCTGAATGTCAGTAATGACTGGGCTACTGATGGGAAGAGGAAACACGAGCTGATGAGTCCTGATGAGTGAAAAATAAGGACAAAAGAAGAACCAGATCTAATAATCAGAGAAGAGTGAGAACTTATGGGTAGAGGAAATACTGGCCAATGAAGACAACAGAGGAAGCCTTGATGGTCACAGGCCAACAGAGAAGTATGGGAAAAGAAAGTAGTGGTTCATGGCCAAATAAAAGCAGCTGGTGAGCAGAGAAGAGCAGGGACTATTGGCCCAAACCAGTCATGAGAAGCATCCCCACTACAGGCTTCTTTTCATTCTTCTGCATAAGACTTTTGCTGTGAAGACAGATCTGATTAGGGCTGAAGTAATCCATGTCATCAATACTCTGCAGCCATATGGCATGAAATCTCTCCTCAGATCTTGGTAACAGTTCTGTTTGCATCAGTTGTTTTCAGTTCAATTTTCAAGCCTAGCTCTGATGAAGGGGGCTTTAAGAACCCCAAAAACGCACTGGCATGTTTTATGGACACTAGAGGAATGAAAAAGACGGAACTTTAAAATAACCTGCCTCCAGATATTTGCACTCACAACTCTCAAATGTTGAGGGAAAATCTCTGGAAAGCATTGCAGGAGGCAAGTGTAATTGGCATTTAAATCTACCACCATGCTGTCATCCTGAAAACTGTGCCTGAAGGATGGTGGTACCAACAGCTCAATGCTTCTGGTGCCTTCCTACTTCTGGACAGAATTAGTTCCTACAAATGGCAGCCACATAGACTTCTATTGTGCTCTAGGCATTGTTTTCTGAGAGCCTTATCTTAGAAAGGACACCAGGAAGGTGTGATTAATTAACATATTACACTTCCCTGCCAAAGTACTTTCCAAATCCTCTTTAAAAACATTGATCTAAATCTCTTACCTCCTCTGTGTTTGAAAATCTCTTATGGGGTGACTTCCGCTTTCACCCTCCAATTTACGCAACTTTCCCCCCCCTTCCTGTCCGGACGCTTTCCCCCCCTTCAGTCCAGACACTTTCACCCTCTTCCAGTCCGGACACTTTCAACCCCCTTCCAGTCCAGACACTTTCACCCCCCTCCAGTCCAGACACTTTCACCCTCTTCCAGTCCAGACACTTTCACCCCTTCCAGTCCAGACACTTTCACCCTCTTCCAGTCCAGACACTTTCACCCTCTTCCAGTCCAGACACTTTCACCCTCTTCCAGTCCAGACACTTTCACCCTCTTCCAGTCCAGACACTTTCACCCTCTTCCAGTCCAGACACTTTCACCCTCTTCCAGTCCAGGACACTTTCACCCTCTTCCAGTCCAGACACTTTCACCCTCTTCCAGTCCAGACACTTTCACCCTCTTCCAGTCCAGACACTTTCACCCTCTTCCAGTCCGGACACTTTCACCCCTCTTCCAGTCCGGACACTTTCACCCTCTTCCAGTCCGGACACTTTCACCCTCTTCCAGTCCGGACACTTTCAACCCCCTTCCTGTCCGGACACTTTCAACCCCCCCTCCTGTCCGGACACTTTCCCCCCCCTTCCTCCCCAGGCCAATTTTCAGCTTTCAGCGCTATCACACTTTGAATGACAATTGCGCGGTCATGCAACACTGTACCCATATGAATTTTTTTAGCATTTTTTGGAGACAGATAAAACTTTATTTTGGTGGTATTTATTCACCGCTGGGATTTTAATTTTTTTGCTATATAAATGAAAAAATTCCCCAAAAATTTGAAAAAAAAAAAGTGTTTTCTTATAAAATTTAGCAAATAATCTTTCTTCATAAATCTTAGCCAAAATTTATTCATCTTTTTAGTAAAAAAAAAAACAAAAGAAACAAAATTAGTTTATAACCAAAAATTAATTAAATGCATTATTTTTTAATTTTTATTTTATTTTTTTATATTATTATTTATGGGTTTTTTTAACATACTTTCACCCTAGCAGGACAGTGTCACCATAGTGACACTGTACTACTTGTGGGGGGTGATGATTTTTTTTTTCTTTTTTTGCACTGATTGCTTTTACAGCCTTTATGGGTGTAAAAGCAATCATTTCTCCTTCTCTCTGGATGCATTCTTGCAGCCATTGAGAACTACTGAGTGAGCTGTGATTGGTCACAGCTTGTCACATGGTACAAGGCTGTTGTGAATGGCCCCTGTACCATGTGACCTCTGTGATCATTCATCTCAAAAAAAATTTTCAGAGTATTGGACATTTGGCTTAATTCCCCTTCCACTACTGCCTCTGAGGAGCTACAACCCCCTGAACAGGGTTTAGTATCATTTGCTGATTTTGTATATGCGGGGTCACCTTTCCAGATTTCTGGAAAATCGTGCAGCATGGTAATAGGATGTACACTCACCGGCCACTTTATTAGGTAGACCTGTTCAATTGCTCGGTAACACAAATTGCTAATCAGCCAATCACATGGCAGCAACTCAATGCATTTAGGCATCTAGACGTGGTGAAGACAACTTGGAAGTTTGACCCAATCTCTTATGGGGTGACTTCTTAACCACTTCAAATCCGGACATTTTCACCCCCTTCCAGTCCGGACACTTTCCCCCCTTTCCAGTCCGGACACTTGCCCCCCCTTCCCAGTCTGGACACTTGCCCCCCCCTTTCCAGTCCGGAACACTTTCCCCCCCCCCCCCTTCCTGTCCGGACGCTTTCACACCCCCCTTCCAGTCCGGACGCTTTCACTCCCTTCCAGTCCGGACGCTTTCCCCCCCTTCCAGTCCGGACACTTTCCCCCCCCTTCCTGTCCGGACGCTTTCCCCCCCCCCCCCCCCCCCCCCCCCCCCCCCCACCACTTCCAGTCCGGACACTTTCCCCCCCCTTCCAGTCCGGACACTTTCACCCCCCTCCAGTCCAGACACTTTCACCCTCTTCCAGTCCAGACACTTTCCCCCCTTCCAGTCCGGACACTTTCCTCCCCTTCCAGTTCCGAACGCTTTCACCCCCCTTCCAGTCCGGACACTTTCACCCCCCTTCCAGTCCGGACGCTTTCACCCCCCTTCCAGTCCGGACACTTTCAACCCCCTCCAGTCCGGGATGCTTCCCCCCCCCCCCCTTCCAGTCCGGACACTTTCCCCCCACTTCCAGTCCGGACACTTTCAACCCCCTTCCAGTCCGGACACTTTCAACCCCCTTCCAGTCCGGACACTTTCAACCCCCTTCCAGTCCGGACACTTTCAACCCCCTTCCAGTCCGGACACTTTCACCCCCTCCAGTCCGGACACTTTCACCCCCCTCCAGTCCGGACACTTTCACCCCCCTCCAGTCCAGACAATTTCACCCCCCTCCAGTCCGGACACTTTCACCCCCCTCCAGTCCGGACACTTTCACCCCCCTCCAGTCCGGACACTTTCACCCCCCTCCAGTCCAGACAATTTCACCCCCCTCCAGTCCAGACACTTTCACCCCCCTCCAGTCCAGACACTTTCACCCCCTTCCAGTCCGGACGCTTTCACCCCCCTCCAGTCCAGACACTTTCACCCCCTTTCCGTCTGGACACTTTCACCCCCCTCCAGTCCGGATGCTTCCCCCCCCTTCCAGTCCGGACACTTTCCCCCCCTTCCTCCCCAGGCCAATTTTCAGCTTTCAGCGCTATCACACTTTGAATGACAATTGTGCGGTCATGCAACACTGTACCCATATGAATTTTTTACCATTTTTTTTTGAGACAGATAAAACTTTATTTTGGTGGTATTTATTCACCGCTGGGATTTTTATTTTTTTGCTATATAAATAAAAAAAATTCCAAAAATTTTGAGAAAAAAAAAAAGTGTTTTCTTATAAGATTTAGCAAATAATCTTTCTTCATAAAATCTTAGCCAAAATGTATTCATCTTTTTAGTAAAAAAAAAACAAAAGAAACAAAATTAGTTTATAACCGAAAATTAATTAAATGCATTATTTTTTTTTATTTTATTTTTTATATTATTATTTATGGTGGGTTTTTTTAACATACTTTCACCCTAGCAGGACAATGTCACCATAGTGACACTGTACTACTTGTGGGGGGGTGATGATTTTTTTTTTTCTTTTTTTGCACTGATTGCTTTTACAGCCTTTATGGGTGTAAAAGCAATCATTTCTCCTTCTCTCTGGATGCATTCTTGCAGCCATTGAGAACTACTGAGTGAGCTGTGATTGGTCACAGCTTGTCACATGGTACAAGGCTGTTGTGAATGGCCCTGTACCATGTGACCTCTGTGATCATTCATCTCAAAAAAAATTTTCAGAGTATTGGACATTTGGCTTAATTCCCCTTCCACTACTGCCTCTGAGGAGCTACACCCCTGAACAGGGTTTAGTATCATTTGCTGATTTTGTATATGCGGGGTCACCTTTCCAGATTTCTGGAAAATCGTGCAGCATGGTAATAGGATGTACACTCACCGGCCACTTTATTAGGTAGACCTGTTCAATAGCTTGGTAACACAAATTGCTAATCAGCCAATCACATGGCAGCAACTCAATGCATTTAGGCATCTAGACGTGGTGAAGACAACTTGGAAGTTCGACCCAAGCATCAGAATAGGGAAGAAAGGGGATTAAGTGACTTTGAACGTGGCATGGTTGTTGGTGCCAGACGGGCTGGTCTGAGTATTTCAAAAACTGCAGATCTACTGGGATTTCCACGCACAACCATCTCTTGGGTTTACAAAGAATGGAGAAGCCAGGACTTTTGCAGCCCTACATTGGACTTTTTGGACTCTTTCACTATTTTTAATAGCTGGCTGGTAGCACTTTGCGCTGATTGTTCTCTAATTGAGTTTTTTTTACGAAGAATGGTCCAAACAAGAGAAAATATCCAGTGTGCGGCAGTTGTGTGGATGAAAATGCCTTGTTGATGTCAGAGGAGAACTGGCAGACTGGTCGCCGCGACATTCAGATGGTAGGGTTAGAATTTGGCAAAAACAACATGAAAGCATGGATCCATCCAGCCTTGTATCAACCATTCAGGCTGGTGGTGGTGTCATGGTGTGGGGGATTCATCCGGCCTTGCATCAACCATTCAGGCTGGTGGTGGTGTCCATGGTGTGGGGGATCCATCCGGCCTTGCATCAACCATTCAGGCTGGTGGTGGTGTCATGGTGTGGGGGATCCATCCGGCCTGCATCAACCATTCAGGCTGGTGGTGGTGTCATGGTGTGGGGGATCCATCCGGCCTTGCATCAACCATTCAGGCTGGTGGTGGTGTCATGGTGTGGGGGATCCATCCGGCCTTGCATCAACCGTTCAGGTTGGTGGTGGTGTCATGGTGTGGGGGATCCGTCCGGCCTTGCATCAACCGTCAGGTTGGTGGTGGTGGTGTGGGGGATCCATCCGCCTTGCATCAACCGTTCAGGCTGGTGGTGGTGTCATGGTGTGGGGGATCCATCCGGCCTTGCATCAACCATTCAGGCTGGTGGTGGTGTCATGGTGTGGGGGATCCATCCGGCCTTGCATCAACCATTCAGGCTGGTGGTGGTGTCGTGTGTCATGGTGTGGGGGGATCCGTCCGGCCTTGCATCAACCATTCAGGCTGGTGGTGGTGTCATGGTGTGGGGGATCCATCCGGCCTTGCATCAACCGTTCAGGCTGGTGTGGTGGTGGCCTTGCATCATGGTGTGGGGGGTGTGGGGGATCCATCCGGCCTTGCATCAACCATTCAGGCTGGTGGTGGTGTCATGGTGTGGGGGATCCATCCGGCCTTGCATCAACCGTTCAGGCTGGTGGTGGTGTCATGGTGTGGGGGATCCATCCGGCCTTGCATCAACCGTTCAGGCTGGTGGTGGTGTCATGGTGTGGGGGATCCGTCCGGCCTTGCATCAACCGTTCAGGCTGGTGGTGGTGTCATGGTGTGGGGGATCCATCAGGCCTTGCATCAACCAGGCTGGTGGTGGTGTCATTCCGTCCGGCTGGTTCAGGCTGGTGTGGTGTCATGGTGTGGGGGATCTGTCCGGCCTTGCATCAACCATTCAGGCTGGTGGTGGTGTCATGGTGTGGGGGATCCATCAGGCCTTGCATCAACCATTCAGGCTGGTGGTGGTGTCATGGTGTGGGGGATCCATCAGGCCTTGCATCAACCATTCAGGCTGGTGGTGGTGTCATGGTGTGGGGGATATTTTCTTGGCACTAACAAGGTGGACCTAATAAAGTGGCGGTGACTGTATATGGACAAAGGTGGAGTATTACTATCCCAGGAGATGCCCTTGACAATTGGACACGTCATCTCTACACTCTAATTTGCCAATGTCCTGAACTGAGTGCGTTTAGGAGTCAGTTATGCTGTTACATTTTCTTTTTATATACTTTGTGAGTCAAGGTATGCCCAAAAGGCTCCGTTTTGTACCTTTTCTTTCATAGTAAAAAAGAAGTTGGGAAAAAAAAAAAAAAAAAAAAAACTGATTATACTGAAAAAAGGCTTAAAATGGTACCCAACGAGAAAAGAATATTCAAACTTAATTTTGTAAATACTGCAATTTTTTTTTTCTGCGCGTGTATATGATTTTATGATAATGTAAGGCACAGTTTTTCCTAATCTTTCCAAACAGCACAACAAAATAAGTACGCTGACTGCATTTCAGAATCTCACTGTACAATGGCTTTACCAGAGGATGAAAGGCATGGCCAACTTTCCTGTTGCTGCATTCCAAACTGACCACGCAAACTTCATGGAAAACCGACACATAATGCCAGGTTACTACTAATGGCCTGTAGGAAATGGGACAGACTGTACTATTGCTAAGATGGTATCTACAGATCGATTAAAAAAAAAAAAAATGGCAATCCTGGCACGAATTTATTTACTCAGAGGAATACACTTCTCTAGTGATGTGATCAGGGGCGGACTGACAACTCATGGGGCCCCCGGGCAATAGGGGATCATGGGGCCCCTGTGTCCTTGCCCAAAAACTCAAAAAATCCTATGAAAAAGGTACCAGGGGCATCGCATGGGGCCCCCTACTGCCCCGGGCCCTCGGGCAGGGCCCGAGTTTCCAAATGGTCAGTCCGCCCCTTGGTGTGATTCATGGATGGTTCCCATTATCTGTTCTGATGGGGTTCGAGGTAAGCCTAGGAGAGGGTGGGGTTGAATGTATTCCCCCTTTTCGGCTGGCCTTTCCCCACTTTATCCTCTTTTTTACCCCCTTCTCTCTTTGCTCTCCCTCCCCCCCCCCCTTTTTTTTCTCTTCTTGCTTTTTTCTCTTTTTCTCTAGTCTTCTCCTTTCTTGGCTCTGTCTTGGGCTACTTTATGATGAAAACTGGAAAATGTGAGGTGCAGCTTGGGGCGCAGACATTCCTCTTACATTGAGAAGTTTGACAGTACCGTCCAGGGACAGACTGACAACTCATGGGACCCCTGGGCAATAGGGAATCATGGGGCCCCTGTGTCCTCGCCCACACTCAAACTACACCCAAAAAAGCCTATGAAAAGATACCAGGGGGTGTAACGGAATCGACCCAGACTGCACTTGGGTACTTCCGTTAGGATACCGCTTCCCTGTCCGAACACCGACCACAAACACCACATCAGACCAGGGGCGGACTGACAACTCATGGGGTCCCCCTGCAATAGGGGATCATGGAGCCCCTGTGTCCTTGCCCAAACTCAAAAAAGCCTATGAAAAAGGTACCAGGGGCATCTCATGGGGCCCCCTACTGACCCCGGGCCCTCGGGCAGTGCCCGAGTTTCCAAATGATCAGTCTGCCCCTGCATCAGACCATGCAAGACTAGACGACACCAATCTTGAAGTAAACCAGGAAAATAGACTACTTTATTTTGACACAGATACAAGATATATACATTCAAGGGAACAACCCCCCCTCCCTGCATAATGACACAGGGGCGGGGTAATCTACCTTTAGTAACAAGAGCAACACCAACAGACAGTCCCATCAGGAGGGAGGGCTGCTGGAAACACCCCCCCCCCAACCAAGTCAATACACAAACACATACATCCCATAATAGTTTGCTCCCAAGCAAGCCACACAATAGAATGGAATGCAACCACATGGC